CTTGATGAGAGGCTGTCCTGCACACTGTTCAGAGCATTGTAGTGGGTCAAAAGAATCCTAGACCCTCTCGTCACATACACACACAAGCCGATGAATGCACATGCGTGCCACTCCATGTGTTCCTCTTCTGACACAGTGTTTGGGATTAGCTTAAGCAGAACTGGTGCAGCTGAATTTCCCGGTGGGTCAGGCAAACAGCACAGCTGTCTCTGTTCTCCAAGCTCTCTGCTAAACCATAAGCTAATGCTGCTTCCCCCCACTCAGTCACTGAGCCAGATCACCCATGGTGGGTTTCCCCTGGCTAGACAGCAGTGCCCAAGCTGGTTTATCACTGCCCTCCCCAGCTAGACAGGGGAGAGAAAATAAAATGAAAGGCTCGTGGCTTGAGAAAAGGATGAAGAGAAATCACACACCAGTTACCATAATGAGAAAAACAGACCTGAGTTGGGTAAATTAGTTTTAACTTATTAGCCATTAAATCAGAATAAGGTAATAAAAAATAAAACTAAAAATTAAAAACACCTTCTGCCCACGCTGCCCTTTTCCCCAGGCACAGATTCACTCCTGATTTTCTCTACGTCCTCCTGTTCAGCAACACAGGGGAATGGGAATGGGGGTTGTGGTCATCTCATCACACACTGTCTTTGTTGCTCTTTGCTTCTCTGGGGTAGAACTCCTCACACTTTTCCCCTGCTCCAGCCTAGGGTCCCTCTCATGGGAGGAAGCCCTTCAGGAACAGACTGCTCCAGTATCCCTGATGGGGTGAAAAGTCCTACCAGCAAACCTGCTCCAATGTGGGTTCCTCTCTGCATGGGTCCCCTGGTCCTGCCAGGAGCCTTCTCCAGAGTTGGCTTCCCACAGGGTCACAGCCTCCTTCAGGCATCCCCATGCTCCAGTGTGGGGACCTTCACTGCTCCACCATGTACCTCCATGGTGGACATGTGCTGCACCGTGGACCTCCATGGGCTGTGAGGGTACAGCCTGCCTCACCATGGTCTTCACCACCAGCTGCAAGGCAATCTCTGCTCTGGCACTTGGAGCGCATCCTTCCCCCCTTTTTCACTGACCATGGTGTCTGCAAAGTTGTTTCTCTCACATATTCTCACTTCTCTTTCTGGCTACAGTTGCTCGGTTGCAGGGCAGTTTCTTTCCCCTTCTTAAGTATGTTGTCACAGAGGTGCTCCCACCATCAGCCTTGACCAGCAGTGGATCCGTCTTAGAGCCAGCTGGCATTGGCTGTATCAGACATAGGGGAAGCTTCTAGCAAACATTGCTGCTCAAACCCAATACATGACCCAACACAGCAACCCTGCTAATGGTCACATAGCATCTTCAGACTCCTAACTGACTACTGTTAATTAATGTCAAAGGTGCATGCAGGCTATTTCATGACCTCACAACCTCCTCTGCTCTATCCTGCCTCTTCAGGGAAGTGTTTGTCTGGGAAGTTAGTGAAAACCCAGCAGGAACCTGGATTTGGGTAAAGCTGTCCCTCCCTCAACTGTACCAGCCCTGCTGGCATTACTAGTGGTTGCGTGTTTTGTCTACAAGCCATCACACCTGTACCCACAGTGAGTGGTCACCTGCAACTCTCATGAGAAAGGGGATGACAAACCACAAGTGTGAGTATGTTGCTAGGTACAGTGATAAAAAGTAGAACAGCCAAGTGATCTGAAAGCTAAACAATGTATTTAAAATACTTAAAGAGTGCCATGTAAAGAGCATTATTGGAGCTTTGCTGTTATACTGCTCTTTTACCTGCCAGTAATTAGTGATTTCTCTGAAGTAGCTGAAGAGTACTCTTTCTTAATTCTGGCTTCCCCGTCTCCCAGTCTCTGTCCTCACCTTGTATCTGTGCTATGTTAGCTTTTCATTGATCATCCAGCAGTAAACTCATAAAATAACCAGTGGCTGGAAATGGCAGTTCTGTGATTTTTTGTTTGTTCTTACATGTCCCATTTTCTCTGTATTTGGCAGGAGTGCCCTTCCTCATTCTTCTGGTGCCCAAGAGTTGCCCAGAATTAGACAGTTTTGTAGAGTCAACATCAATTTTCCGTGAAGCTACATTGCCTTGCTGGAAGTTCGTCGCATGTACTGGAACACTGCAGGCAGCACAGGCAGTCCCAAACATTAAAACCTTTTTCATAGCACCAGAAACCACCAAGTGCTGAGGACAAGTTATGCCTGTCCCCTCTGCTGGGACCATGCCCTCAATGTTCCAAGCTAAGCAGTGGTTTTGAGTCTGAGGGAGTCATGTGGGAGCACAGGTCTCATCTAAGTCGAATGGGAATACTTGACTACCATATTGGAGGGGCTGCGATGACTCAGAAGGAGAAGGCATCTTAGTTTGTCATTCCTTGAGAATTGCATAATTGCCAGGTTTCATAAAAGGGTTAGCACAGTTGGGTCAGTGGAGGATTGTGATCTTAAGAATCAGGCTCATTTGGGTGTAGCATCAGTCCATGTGGAGCAAACTTTAAAGAAAAGTTACATTTACTTACCAAGGCTGGGTTGTGGTTCCTTCTCTCACCTTGTCTTTACTCTGCTGGTTATGTGTCTGATTACAGATTTTATGAGAATTACTTCAATTTGTTAAAATGTTGAACTCTGGAACTAACCTCTTCAGAAGTGCTTAAATCAGTCACCTCTTTAAAAAGAAGTCACATTTGACCACTGGGAACTCAGGTTTCATAGCATCCAAGAAGGAGATGAACTGTTGATTCGTGCTTAAGAAATCTGGCTGAGGACATGAGCAGGGATGTTTCTACCACACTTCATATTGCGTTGGGATTCTTTGCTCCAAGCCACTAAATAACTGAAAGAGTTTGAATAGGAAATGCCATATTGTTCAGACCCATATGCTGCAATAGGACTCAGCACAGCAATAGTCATGGAGACACATAGGGGAGGAAAAGGGCACTTAGCCAACGTCTAGATTCATCAGCTGAATGAGTTGGAGAAAAGAATTAGTGCTTATACCGAGCAATCGATAGAAAGCAGAGATTGCTGGTCCATTTAAAAGGCTCAGACAGGCCTTAACTGCCTTGACAGAAAATGAAACCTGTAACCTTTTTTCTAAGTCAGGTGCCTTTTGTGAGTTATACAGGCTCTTAAAGCATTGGCAGCTTGTCTCAGTGCTGTGTATTTGTGGTCAGCGCTGGAGCTTCTGGTGTAGGTGGGTAGAAGTTGGGTTGTATTAAGGGTTGTAAATATTTGTCTCCATAAAACACTGCTTTATCCCTTTGTGTCTGAAACACCAGCCTTTTATTCTGGAGACAGAGATAACCAATGCATTTGCAAGTTCCAGTCCTGAGAAATTACTCTGATTTAAGGTTTTGACTTCGATCCTGTATCAGTCTCTTTGTTGCTCATGCCAGAGTTATTAATCCAATCCTTTTCCTGCCAAGTTCAATGAGCATTTATTCACCTCTGCTGTCAGCAGGAGGAGGGCTGGACATCGTTTGAAGGAGTATGAACTCTTCTGTGCAGGTTCCTCAGCCATGCTTCTCTTCACAATCCCTAGGCATCTCTGCTGCTTATTTGTCCCTCCAAAAGGGCAACCTTTCACAGGTGTCCCCCTGTTCTTACCTGTGTGGAAGGGGCAGAGTTGGCCCACCTTGCACTTGCACACCCTGGTAGCCATGCAGGTTTTCCATGACAAGTGGGAAAAGGCACTTTTCCTTCTGAGGGAAATAAAATCTGCAAGAAAAAAAAATATATCAGCACATTTCACACACTGCAGGGAGGAAAAAGCAAAATGAATTCACTATTCAGGTTCCCCAGCAAGCAGTCTGGTAAACCCTTGTTATTCAGGCACACCACAAAAATAGGTCCCAACATTTTCTCACACTGGAGAACGTTTTTAACCAGTCTCTTTCCTACCTTACTGGCCCCACACTTGGCTTTTTCCTAAAAGTCTGGCATGGCATTGCAGGATGAGACTGGGTCAGTGACCTCAACTTCTGCAGCTAATCCCAGCTGACTTCCCACTAGAAACAAGGAAGGACTTTGAATCAGAAAAGTGAGTATCAGTTTATATGCAAACCCTTCACTGGTGGGCTCCTATCCCTGCTGGAGTCAGGGCTGTTTTAATACAGCACACACATTGCACACCTGCAGAACACTACACTTATCTTTAGAACCTGAATTCTAGTTGTGATTTTGTGGTAAGAAGTTAAAAGAAATAGTCTCTCCTAAAGGAGAGATCAGTTTAAAACCCCTCTTGCACTGAGTACATAAAAAAAGCTTCATATACTGTCTGTGTTTTGGGGTACATAATAGCAGCTCTGAAAGTTAAAGCAGACAGTTTGCTGTTTAAAAATACAGCTGCAAAATATTTCACTACTTTTTTTAAAGAAGCAAGCTCTCAATCAATGTGAGATAGAAGGAAAAGACACACAGGAGACAATAGCAGATTGCAAGAAGGAGAAACAGAGAAGGCAGCAACACTTTCTGCTGTAGGGTGTGTTAGTCTGGTGAGTTGCTGTCTAGGGTAAGAGTAATAACTCAGGCCTGGTGTCAAGCTAGGCTGGACTAACACTAAATAATGGTGCTTTGACGGAGTCCCATTTCTATCCTCACTAAGCCCCTCAGCAGCAGCCTCAGGAGGAGGAGAAGAGGAAGAAAGATAAATTCCCTTTCCCGGCACAAAGTACGGTCTTAGGGTCCATACAGCAGCCAGGTGCAGATGGAGACAAGGTCTGTGCTCTTTCTCTGCCTCAGCTGGGTCTCATCCAGAAGCTCTGTGACCATCTCTAGTGTGATGTTGTCAGCAAGCTGCTCTGAGTCAAGGTACATCAGTTTTAGCCACATTGGAGGTGATGGGACACAGCTCGTCCAGCCTTTGCAGTATCCCTTCTGGGGAGCTGGAGAGCTCACGGCCTTGGTTGTTAATTCTTCTGTGCCTTTCTTCTCTATCAGATCTGGGTTTCTGAAGCTGTATCGTGGCCACCTAGGCTGTTGCCCTAATTTTGGTTTTCTCCTTTATGTCCCATATGCAGAGAAGCAGAGAGAGCTGGCTCGGAAGGGCTCGCTGAAGAATGGCAGCATGGGAAGCCCAGTTAACCAGCAGCCCAAGAAGAACAACGTGATGGCACGAACAAGGTAAAGGACTGGAAAAGCTCTCAGCTGTGCTCTAAGCTGCAATCCCTGCTGGCAGTAGGGTGGGCAAGGGCAATGTTCATTGCCTTTCACCTACTGCCAAACGTGCCTGTAGGAGAGTGATTGCCCTTCCTGGAGCTGACAAGCCCAAATGCTCTGTGCTATGTTGCATCTCATCCCCTGGGGAAATGCAGGGACAGCTGAGCCCAGGACCAGGGACACTGCAGCCTGCAGGAGGCAGAGGCAGCCTAGCCTGGTCAAAATCAGGGGTTTGATAGGGCTGACTTGCATGTTCTGGGTGACCTCATGTATCACATAAACATATGAGTGGGAGAGGTGTGATGCTGCTTCATGTAACACAGACAGAGTGTTAGAGCCTTGACTGCTTTTATCACAGTAGTTACTCTGCTCCTTTTTGATGATGAGCCGTTCCCCATACTGGCTGACTTAATGAAGGCTTGTAAATATCTATGTCTATGCACTTTGCTATATGCCTCCTCCACACTTTGAACAGCACAGTCATATTTTCCTGGAGCTCTGTGTGACACTGTCAGAGAGTGCTAGAATCTGCCGTAAGCAAAGACATTCCTAGGTGAATAGTTTGTTTTAGAGTATTTCTACTTTTTTTCCATGCAGGCTTCAGTACACCAATGTATTACCTACATTCAGGAGGCAGGAACCCCCCTGAGCCCATGGGATTGCATATGAAAGATGTCAGTTCTTAGTGGAGGACCTCACTTAAAATGACGGAAGAATCTATGTGAATACTGGTGAATGGGAAAGTTGCATGGATTACCATATATTAAGTAGAAGAGGAACTGCAGGTCAGAGCATCTCTGTGTGCAGGACATCTGACAGATGAGGTTTCTTGTTCACATTAATTCCTCAGACCCCAAATAGGAGTCATAAATCATGCCATGACTTTGTCAAGTTTTATTTGTAAGCCCCTGCAGTATTGGTAGAATATGCTGCGTTGGTCCTTGCTCTGTGTTTGGTTGTTGAGACTGTATGAAGGAGCTAGGCCCTTTGTGGCAGCAAGAAATTCAGCAAATACTCTCAGCTGGGTTTTCCACACCTACTGTTCTTCCTTGTCTTGATAGTACAAGCTCAAAAGACTTGGTTTCTTTTGGCACTAGGCTGGGTGCTAGCTTCCCAACAGGAATGGTACCAGATTGCTGCCTGAGAGATTTAGAAATGCTGGAATTAGCAGCGGAAGGTGGTAAGAGAGGGAAGATGGGATAAGTGCAGGTGCCTACCTGTAAAATTCATGACTTCCACTATGAGAGGTTATTGGTTCCAAGCTGCCAATGGAAAGAGGGGTGATCTGAGTGGGGAAGAGCAGAGCAGTGACACCAATTGACAAAAGCTTTCAAACAGACAGCTCAGTTTTATTCTGTTTGTGGACATCCGAGTACTGTTCAGAGGACGTGTAGACCCCTCCATGGCCAAACATAACCTGCTGGCAGTAGACTTGCATTTCTTAGTTACCTTTCACACAGCTTTTAGAAGCATCCCTTGGGATCTGCAAAACAGAGGTTTGCAGCCATTGCTTTGGTAGCAAATATAGCCAGGCTCTGTAGTTCCAATGTGGCTGGGAGGTATCTGGCACAGGGTTTCCCCTCCCGAAGTCCATTCATCCCCCAGCTTTCCTGCCTGTCTGGCAACCAAGCTGCACCGTGACCACAGCCCTAATAATACCTCAGAGTGGTTCAGTCTGTCTTGCCACAGACAGGGCAACCCCAGGAGGGCAGAAATGCCACAGGGTTGTTCAAGCAGCTTCTTTAAATGGTGTAATGGTTGCAGTATAATGGGAGATACTCCAGTGGGATACACTGCAAAACATCCAGGTTATGGTTTAAGTCTGAGCTGTTGGCTTCCTCTGGTCTCTTCAGGAGGAGAATAAGCTAAAGCCATTTCCCCCTTTTTAACAGTTCTGCTGTTCTTGATGTATGTGTTTTCCTTCATTCAGGCAAACCACATTGCCTCTCCAAGTCTTTACTCCTCCTTCTCCTCCTTCCCCAAGGCTTCTGTTCTTCTATATTACCTGTATGAATTTCTGACATCCAGCCCTTACTACCAGGTTGTCTTCTCCTGGGGCAGGGACACAGACAGCCTTAGACACGTTTGCTGTGATCACAGGGAGAGCCCACAACATCATCCGCACCCCTTGGGCATTGCCAGATATTGCAGTCTGCTCTGCGGATAACCTGAACTTTGTATCATAATATGCTTCGTATTAAGTGAGCAAAAACATCAAGACAAGAAGCTCGTGCTGGAACAGCTGTGGATGAAAGATGCTGCGACTGCTACCTGATTTTGTTCCAGGGACAGGAGGAAACAAAAATGAGGACAATCAGGATGCAAAAGAGTCAGGGACAGACACATTATCACAGTTTTTGTCTGTTGCAGAAAAACTCAAGTTCTGTGTTATTGAAAAAAAAAGACATTTCTCAAGAAAAAGATGTAACCATTCTTTTTTAATCAAGTAAATATCACCACAAAGGGCTCTTCTCCTAGATCCCCTGATAGTGCTTTGTTCACTCATGATACACTAACAACCATCAGTGAGTATATATGAGGCAGTGTCTTGAAAACCAGAGAGTGAGAATGAACATTAGTACTTCTGGTACCTGTATGGCTATGGTGCTGCTACCAGACCAAGCTTCAGGAGCGGAAGGACCATCTCAGTGCTGTGAGAGGGGGTATTGAATTTAGCAAGTGAATCCCATTTTCTGCAATTCTCTGCAGGAGGCTGGAAATTCAGCATCATTTGTAAAATTAATTTTGTTAATCTTGCATTCCAATGAACACCGTAAGAAAATACATCTAGTCATGAACCTATGTATCTGCATCGTGATAACATTTGATATATTTTACTCTCCCTGAGCCTGTCCATCTTCAGTGCCTGTCAGGCTTCTGTATTGCTAGAATTGTATTGACTTCCTGAAATTTTCTGAGCAGAAACAGAAAAACATTTTGAGTGTATAGAGAGCAGTTGGAGCATGGATGAGATGGATTAGCATCTTTAGATTTATATTTCCTAAACTCTCAGTGAAGCTTTGTTGTGCATCATTGTGTGTTAAAGACCAGTTCTTCATCTGGAAGAAAATCAGAGTTAACCGACTGAATGGGCAGATTTTCATCACTCTTACAGTTCCTACCTCCTGAACATAGAATCTTACTCCATTTGCAAAATTTGGTTGATCTTATTTTAAATATGAACCAAAGTCTTTGTGCAGTTTTGTGGATGAAAGAACTCTGTTGTGAACTAGATACCATTGTATTAATGCATTTTCCTTATACTAGAAGCTATGAAGCCTGTATTCCATTTCCTAAAGTCTCAAAGCAATTGAAGGTGCAAAGTCATCATCAGCCTTTGTAACACTTCGGATGAAGTGTAAGTCATTATTAAAATAGTGGGATTTAAAAAGTCCTTGTCTGACTGGGTTCTTACACTGCACCCTCCAGCTCATATATCTCATATTACTAAAGTTAGGACTGAGACCTTAGAAGTGTTGTGCTGGGGAGGCTGTGTAAGGACGCATGCAGAAAGACCAATTCCCTGATTTTCAATAATAGAATAGTAGGAGCACTAAGCCTTTGTTCACTTATTGCTGGAGTTGTACTTGCTGCTAGGGAAAACAAAAGCAACACAAAAATGAGAAATGTGATATGACAAACAGTGCTAGCTGAACAGGTTCACCATGGAGTGTCCCAACATTTTTTTCATCCACGGAGGAGCTTGTTCCCAAGGCATGTCCAGCATTCATCCATGTGAAACTGCTCTAAGCTACCAGAGACACAGCTCAGTTCCTCTGAATTACACCCCTTTAAACATCTTCACCAATAAAGGAGGTCTTGCAAGAAATTGAGACAGGAAAAGCCTAACTATCACATAGCCTTGCCTTAGACTATGTGTAGTACTGAGCTTTACTGTGTGGTTAATGGATAACATTTAATTTCAGGCTCGTCGTTCCCAATAAAGGCTATTCGTCATTAGACCAGAGTCCAGATGAAAAGCCACTGGTAGCCCTGGATACGGACAGGTATGCAAAGTGTTAATAACATCATATACATTGTGGTGCAAGTGAGTTTTCATGGCAGAGTGCAGCACTGAAGCTAAAAAAACTTCTCTTGCTGACCACTCACACTCTTCCTTGCTGTGCCCTTTGGCACATGCCGTAACTGTTCTGTCTGTGTAAACAAGTAGGACGAGATGTGAGTATAGAGCACTATAGTGGGGAGGTCTGAGGGTCACAGGGGAAAGTTGCTCTCCAGGGTCCCTTTGTGTAACTTCTCTGTGCCTCAAGGAGAGCTTCACAGCACAAGGAAGATACGACTAACCAGGAAATACAGGGCTCTCTAACTGTTTCCTTCTTTGCTTTTCTTCTTGTCCTTCCCTGCAGTGATGATGACTTTGACATGTCCAGATACTCCTCCTCGGGATACTCATCAGCTGAGGTGAGTTATACTCTCTCTTACCATCCTGGCCATGAATGCTAATAGTAGAGCAGCCAGAAAGGGTTCAGAGTGGCCTTGTATTGCCAGAAATGGCTACACAGCAAATTTACCAGTGGTGTAGATTCTGTGAGTCTGAAGGGGCCGTGGCAGAAACTGCATTATGTTTCTTTCTTCCCTGGTGATCCAGTCGGCTCTGTCCCCACATTGCCGTGGCATAGAGATCTTATCTGCCTGTAGGCTCTTTTCACAGCTACCTTTGGCTTCACTCAAGCTTTTCCCAGTTCTGCTTAGTCCTACAGTATTAGCCTGTGTGGTGCAAAAGCATGAACTTGTCTGTCACGCCAGCTCAGCAACCATGTGCTTTCCAAGGACAGAAATAAAGGATTTGAGGGTGTGCTGTGATTTTCACTTCTTGGTGTGGTCAAGGTCACCCTGTGTGTGTTTACTTGGAGCAGGCAGAAATTCCGGGGAGGACTTGCAAATATGAATTCTTGCCCTTTCAAAGAGAAAAGGCAGGAAGCTCAGCCTTGTTACTACCTCTGCATTGTTTCTGAGTGTATTCCCAAACTGACTCCTGAACTAGTTGCTCAGCCTCTGGCTGCTCCTTCTGTGGGATCTGATTTTATATCCACAGTGCTGAACAGCCATTCAGTGCACAAGCCGCTGGGAATTCTTCCTCCTTGTACCCTTTCCTTGGGCAAAATATGACTGAAACAAGAGAAATGGCCAAGAGCAAGGACCATATTAAATGATCTGGGCCATAACGAAATGTTACTCACCCAGATCTAAGTTTGAATCTGAGGTTACAAAGAGCTAAGAGGCTTTACTGCCTTTCACCTGCCCCAGACTGAAAGGAGGGCCTGCTCAGCTGCCAGTTGGTTTATTAATGTTATTGTTGTGCTATTTAAATGAGGGCTTGTCTTCATGGAAAGATTATTCCAGAGTAAAATAGTGTATCAGCTTGCTACTCTGGAGTAAACACTTTGGATATTCCTGTTCTGGAAGAAGCTAGAACAGAAGGCAGCCCTCACCTGTGGTCAGAAATCAAGACTCTTATCACTGGTGGGGCAGCTGCTAATGGTGGGGAAATATATTCCAGGAGCTCTTTCGGTTTTGAACCATCAGAACTAAGTCTCAGATGTGTGACTGTTTGTCTCTTTGTCTGTAGCAGATCAACCAAGACTTGAACATTCAGCTGCTAAAGGATGGCTACCGGTTAGATGAGATCCCAGATGACGAGGACCTCGACCTAATCCCCCCTAAATCGGTCAACCCTACCTGCATGTGTTGCCAAGCCACCTCCTCCACCGCCTGTCACATCCAGTAGTGAGGCCGGCAGGCTGTGATCAGTGCTTTCCACTATAACTGTAAAACTTAACAGCCATTGCTTCCTCCTATGGTAGGACGTGCACCTCTTTGTGTTCATGGAGCCAGGAGAAACCAAAAAATTCATTTTATGATTGGTTGATAAGTTATTTTAAACTATGATTAAACAAAATAGAAGTTGCTCAAAGTGCCAGGCCATGTCTGGCAGAACTGACTGGTCTGGAGAGTGAATGCAGAGGGGTCCAGAGATACCTCCTTGGTTTATGTAGGCACTGGGGATATTTTGTAAGGTGTCTATTTCAGAATGGGAAGGGTTAGGGGGGGCTGCGGGTAATTCTGCCCACCAAAACCAATCCTTCTGTGAGATCAAGGAGGTTTACCTTGTGAGAGGAGGTCAGTTCTTAATTCATTCACTAAACCTGTTTCATTTGCATAACCAAAACAATAATGTAACTGGGGCATAGGACTGGGAACGGAGCAGGGCATCCTTTCTTATGGCAAGGCTAGCCAGGACTAGCATGGCACAATTCATTCACTTGCAAGGAGGACAAATAGGTAGCCTTTCACTGTGAGTCAGTACTAGCTAGAGCTGTTGTGTCACATAGCCAATGCAATCTATCCTTTGCTCCACGTTAAATTATCACCAAACACATCAGATTTCATCTACAATCCATCCATGCTCTTCAGGGATTCAGTCCTTGCCCAAAAACACCATACTCCTGGGTTCAGTCCACTCAAGTATACTGACTTCAGCCTATGCTTAATTCCTGTGAGACTCATTTGCTTCTAAAAATCTTAAACTTTGTTCAGCTAAGGAAACATGAGTCCTGCATGAGACAGAACTAGAGCTGTACAGTCTGAAATCCAGTGCCAGAAAAACTCGTTGAAGAAGGCACATTTTTACAGTGCTCAGCTGTTGATATTCTCTTGATACTGCATCTCCTGGGGCCTGTGGAAAAGATTTGCTAATGCTGAAGGCATCTGTGCAGTGGTGTCAGACCGTAGGGAAGTTTTCAGAAACAGCAGGATTATGAACAGCTTCAGCTGAAAAAAAAAAAGCAGGAGAGGAAACTACTGTTTAGCCAGTCTCTGCCCACTTGTGAACCAGGCATGATCTGTGTTAGAGCTGTCCCATGTCAGGAGCAGTTGTGTTCATTTGGTGCTGGAATAGTCAGGAAAGCTGACATTACACTAGGCTGCTGGACTGAATTGCTGGCTCTCCAGCAGATTGTTTTGAACGCAAAATCATTTCTGGAATTAGGAAACCAGTCCTCTCCCTGGCCGGTCTTATGCTGCTGGCTTCAGCATATGTGGGGCTCTGGTGAGGTATGGACTGGCTTTTTTCTCAGTGTTGACATCTTTTGCCACAGGCATGACTCTGTGTTTTTCTTCCCTGCCAGGAGGAAAGACAGGCTGCTTTGGGTCATCATTGCTTTATAGCCTGGGGATCAGAAAAAGCAAGGTCAATTCCAAGCTTCGCATCAGAGTCCCTTAGTCACAAGGCAGAACCTGAGCTCGATCCTGGCTCCGTCCCCTCAGAAATCGGCATGAAGTGAGCTGACTCTTTAACAAGTCATCTTTGTGATTAGGAGGAAATTCATTTCACATCCTGGGGTTTCACTCTGTGCAGTGCAAAGCACGATACCATCCACAACATGAGCAAATGAGCAGGCATGCAAGATTCCTTGGCTTTATTGTTCACTAGCTGGTATGGGCAACTGTTAAACCTAAGTTTCCCCCGCATTTCCTAAAACAACGTGCTGCCATCCTGGCTCTGGGCTATAGGAAGGACTGAGTGGTGCTGTTTACTGTGCATCACTGCCTCCTCATGCAGAAGTGCTAGTTAACCTGCCAGCTCCTCTGGGAAGTGTTCCTCAAGTGAATTCCTCTCTAACCACCTGGTTGTGCTGATCAGGAATATTTCCAAAATGTTTCTAAAGAAGCACAAAGCACCAGATCTCCAAATCTTTGCTGCTTCTTTCTTGTGCCTGCTATCCTTTCCAGTACTAGTTCAGGCTGAGGTTAGCAAGTTGTCTGGAGGTGGGGGAAGAGCTCTAAAAACGCTGCCTAGAGAGAAAAGATAAAAGGGAAAAAAACATTCCTTAAGGAGGATGGGAAACATAGTAAAAGCATAACAAAAACACCATGGTCAGACCAAATCCTGTAGGACATGACCAATTCTCAATCTTACTCTCTAAAGCAGGACTTTGCAGCTCAGCATTGGTACCATGTGACATCTTCATCGCATTTACCCTCTTGGGTCAGTCTCTGTGCCTTCCAGCTGGGCTGCACACTCAGCTTTTCCCGCAGCCGTTGCTCAGGAGATCAGAGCATTTCAGTGTGCCTGTGAGTACAACAAGCCATCTGTTTACATGGGTCAGCCATGGAGGACTACAGGTCTCCATCATGCTGCCATCATGTTCGTTCTAAGACAGAATAAGGCTTGATGACACTGTATCTCCCAGGGTTAACGCCTCCGTTCTGAAGGACAGACCTTCCCTGATAACCACAGCCCTGTGTCACCATGACCAAGTCCTTTTATTGCCCTTGTTGTTGTTTTTTGACTGCCATGTGCCCTGAGGCATTCCTTAGCCCTGCAACTGCCCTTAGCCCTTTGCATTGTGTGATGTGCATTTGCTTCTAGTACAACTCTTTAGGGAGAGAGATGCGTTTAAATGTTACACCCAATGCTTCCTCCAAATACAGACCAAATCACTAGCCAAATGTTTTTTCCTGCACACAGAAGGAGTTGGTTGCACAAAGACCTGGTTTGGCCTGACAGTACAGGACCATAAAATGATGATTTTTTGGCTTCTCCTCTCTATGCTTTGTGTTCATATATTTTATTAGGGGATTAAAGTAGAAAGGGTGGGGAAGAGTGGTTACCTGTGTAGGGTCATTATCAGGAAGGCTGAATGGATTAAGGCAATGCACTTGTGGCTGTCGTAAAAAATTGAACGCTAATCCTTCTGAACCACAGCCCCTTAAACAGGTTATGACCATGTAGCATGTTTGTTGGCTCGTTATGGAATGTAGTGGACAGCCCATCAATATGTTTTAACCTCTCTCTGGTCTTGTGTTCAGACTCAGCCAGAAGGCTTTCCTTGTCCCTTCTTTGGAAGTTACACTGTGGTGACTTCTGGGAAGGTGTATAGAGACATGGATGTATAGAGACATGGATGTTCTGGCACTGCTCTCCTTAGACCAGTCTCTGCTGCCATGTCCTGGAGAAGGCAAAAGCAGAGAGCGCAGACCCTGACTCCCTGTTACAGCATTCTAAAGTCCTAAAATCTGCAGAGCTGCTGGGCACTCTCTTAAATACAGATTGCATGCAGGAAAGCAAATTGTTCTGTGTTCCACTCTTTGTACTAAACCAGATGGTCTTCTTAGGCCCCATTTTCAGTCTAAAGTTGTACAGAATACCAAGGAGAGAGCACCATGGAATATAAGAGACTGCATCACTGTCCATCTAAATGACCATGCAAACAGGATTTCAGGATATTGACGCTGGTGCCTCTACAAAGGAATTTGCATATGATGCCTCCTGAAGCCAGACTGGCGTTTCATTAGGATTTTATGTAATACCAGTCACCAAACTACCTGAGTTTAAGCAAGTCCTTTCCTTTTATCGGATGTTAATTTTGCCCTTTAGTGTAAGCTTGCTTTGAACACCAGGGTTTCAGCATTCAACTCTGCTTCTCTGGTCTGCAAACTCCACATTTCAGAGGTCTGTGTGAGGAAGAACATCCTGCTAGTGTTGAGGAAGGTCTTTAGACAGCATGACTAGTCTGCTTTTCTGGTGGTTGTACATAAACCTTGGCTGAAAGGAGGCTGATGTACAGGCAACCATCCCAAAGGCTCATTTAATGTATTATCAGATATATTTTGAAGCCAACCCTTGGAAGAGCCACTAGATCATATCTGACGTTGCTGCATGTCTACCCCCAATGTGTAGGCCTGGCCGTTGGATCGGCTGTGCTGTTCTATCCATCTTACCTGCAGGTGCCTTGCGACTGCAAAAGCAGGCAACAAAGCCTGCTGCGTGGACTTTTGCAAGGGACTTCATGACACTCTGCTATGGAGAAGATGGACTCCGCTGCTTTTCATTTGTCTCTCCATCTCCTTTCCCAAAATGAGGCACCTGCTCTGCTCAGCTGTGTGCTTGCTAACACGTTGGCTTGTGATCCTGGGCAGAATCCTTTCCTCTCCGTGCAAAGTCTGTCCTCAGGCTAGCTTGCGAGCTGTACAGTGGCATGCAAGAGGCTTGAAAAGTACAGTGCCCTGTGCGTGACTCAACAGAAACATGAAGAAGCTTTTGAAGAAACGAAGGACCCAGCTGAACAGCAGATGGAACTACAGGAAAAGGAAAACAAGCATTAACTAGAAAGGTTGCCAAGAGCTGTCTTGGCCTAGAGCAGATCCCAGTTGTCCAAGTTAATCTATCTCAGTGCAGTGCCGATACCAGCAGGTAGGAAAGCTCAATTTCAGATGCACGTACCAGAAACACCGCATCCCCAGGCTGGCATTCCAGCCAAATACCACTGCAGAGAGTCTGCTGGATTGTTAGAGCACGTAAGTGAGATTTGGGGTCCCTTGCTGCTGTTGGCACATGGTACACATTGGTTCTAACCTCCAGCAAGTCCATAGCCCCTCTTGATGTCCATTCCTTCCTGCAGCACAGGGGAGAAACCTGCCTTCCCGCCACCTTGCATGGATATTGCCAAGTGTGTGACAGGCACTACTGATGGCATAGCTCTGCCAGCAAGATGCAAAACCCACGCTATAGAAAGTGTATGCATATTTTCAAAGTACTACTTTGCTTTCCCTCTGTTTACCAGGTTCTGATGTTACCTGCATGTGCCAGAAGGCTGCAGGGTGGCGGTTGGTAGAGAGATGACACAGCTTTTAGGAAAGGTATTTGGCAAGGATGCATTTACCAGTTATTTGTCAGCTGGCTCACACAACTGGCTTCTCAGTCTGCCTGCTGCTACAGGGGATATG